TCAACAGGTGGAGAAATGATCCATTCAAATTAAATTACAATTGTAATCCTATATATAAAGATATCCACTCTAAGTAAGGAACTAATAATCACAAAGTTAAAATAAAGTAAAAACTAGTTTGAATCATGGTAAGACATAGAAGAGTTTTATTCTAAGTATTGGGTTCAATGAATTTTTGTGATTGTTGAAGCTAGGTTCCCATCAATTTCTTAGCATTAAGCACCTTCAAGCTGAATGTGAGAGAGAATATGATGGCCAAACACACCCAGTCCCAGAGCTAAGAATTCTGTGGATCCAGAGTTCAAGAAGTAAGGAGTACAAAAGCTGAAACCATCACGGTGGGATTTCATGATCTACTCATCAAAATATGTTCTTGTCAGCATCACTGCTGATATTAAAGTACATTTTTTCCAAGTTGTTTCAGAGAAAGGTTTCTCCACTATCGTTTTGTAAGAGATGGATTCCACCACAGGGAACTACTATCCTGTACTCCAGTGGATAGGAAAAATAATAGCGGAGGAATAAAGGAGGGAAAGAGAACTGGTGTGGTCAAAGAGATGAAGAGTAACTGAAAGCAGCATTTAACAATGGGGATAACTTACCTTCAGCTATATCACAGAGATGTGGAGCGAAGGCTATGGAAAGGGAAAGAGCATGGAGAAATACTACAAGACTTGAGTATATTGCTGAACATGTTTATTTAGTAGATAGATAAATACCAATATTATAATTCTACATACAGGATTGTTTATTTTGTACAGATGTACATATGAGAAGCATTGTCCATCTCTAGAACCACATATACATTAGACAGAACTAAACATGCAAATACACCAATGCTCTTACAGGTAAAAGAAACATGAATTTTGGTTTAATTTGTGTTGCAACAGCACCTTGCTATTCAAATGGAAATTAGAGTCTCACTGTGCTGTGTTAGCTGATATATATAGAAAGGAAAATAGTGGAGAGGGTGAGGAGGGCTGACAAAATGCACTAAAAATACCACTTTCCACTAATGCATTTTTTGGCAATGCACCAAGGTTAATATTAATATTCAGCCACAAGTCAAAGGGTCCCAAGTCCTCATTACTATTTGAAATGATATTGAGTTAATGCACCTAATTCTCACTTCTCACTGATTTTATGCTGGCTTTAGGGCCAATAAAGTATAAATGGTTTGCTTTATCTCTGTCCTCTGGGAGATGGCTTGCTGGTCGCCACCTTCTAGAGTGCTTCCTACCAGCTTCTTACCCCAGCCCATAATGTCACGTTTATAGCTATGGTTATACAAAAGTATCTTCAAAGGTCTTAAAAGCATCTAGTGGATTTGATTTATTTGATGGACCTTCAGGATACTTGATCATCCAGCAGTGGTTGTTGAGCTCATGTAAACTTCAACACTTCAGAAGTTTAGCAATGTGAAAGCTGCTGTCAACTGGGCATGTTTAATTGAAGACACACAAAATCAATAATTGTTTTTGAAAATTCAGAACACATTTGACATTTCAAAAAGAAAGGCAAGCTGATTTAATTTTATTATTTCCACATACAAAGTTTTATTTAATTTTGTAGTGTGTTAGATGAAATTGCTCTCTTCCCAAATTAGAACAGATAAAAGCATTAATTTCTGCAAATTAAATCACTTTCAGAGATCAGAAGTTGCTCAGCCTCTCACAGAAAGACTGGGTGCAGTTATGTAAGAGAAGCATGTTGATTCATACCAATTATGCTATGCATTACTTGGAAGAGTCTTCACAGATTTTCCCCAAAACCAAATTTAAATGTGGGAAAGAGGCTTCTGTGTGATCTGAAACAATCATTCTGTTGTAAGGCTAGCAAAATTCCCATGTTTGAGGAGTGAATGAGCAATGTCCAGAAACACCAATCCTATCTATTCTTTATTTCTCTCCTAATGAACATAAAAGGGTACAAGCCCAATGGCTAATAGGTCATTTTGTTTCACTCCATTCTTGCACCTCCCATTGTAAAAAAGCATTAGAATATATTTACTTTCGGTCATGCTTTAATTTTAAGGACAGTAATACATAACTACATTGTTTCCAGTTATCAGAGCTCTCTGTGAAGTCTAGAACAGAAGAGTATTGATAAATTCTGGAAAAACGGCTAAAGACCTGTATTGCTTTCTGAAGGTATGATTACTTCTCGTGCCACAGAAGTAGTCAGAACTGGTTAATTTATTCCTTATACACCTGTGACTTATTTTAAGTCCCAAACTCTCATCCAAGAAAAATCTCTCATTAGCTTCTCCAAAGGGAACAGAGTACTCATGATGTTTAGTTCTTCCTTCCTTCAGACATTCAGATGTCTTCCTATCACAACCATTCCCCTAACTTCATCTTTTCTTCTCTGACAAGGTCTCACTCTTTTCATGCAGTTTTTCCTCACCATTTTGCTATCTACTGCATTCACTCCCCTTGCAACTACAAACACATTGTTTCTCATTTGCTCAGAATAGAAACCTGCAAGTCCACCTGCTTTTCCATCTTTCTTTGTCAAATGGTAAGGGCTCTCAGGTACTACCTTAGCTCTCTGCCACTTTCCCATCCCCTCTATCACTCCACCCACATCAGTTTCCAGTCCTCTTCACTCTGCTTCCTCCCTAAGAAATTTTACCTGAAAAGACTTCTGTAGACATTTACCAAACTGTGCCCTTTCAGTTTCACCTCCAAGAGTCAAGTCTCCCTGACGTAAAACAAAGAACTCGCAATTGAAAAGGTATTTAACCTTATGAAGATTATGTAGAAAGAATTCCCTGCTGTTTTTCACAGTACTTATCAAAGATAAAGAGATCTTTGGGACAGGGTCACCGACATCCCATTAAGGATTATCCTAGAAGGAGATCGATTAGCAGGTATTTGAACTAGGTAAAATGACTATGCTTGGGGTTTTTTTTGTTTTGGTTTTCTTGTTTTGTTTTTTTGTTTGTTTGTTTTTTTGTTGTTGGGTTTTTTTGTGTGTGTGTGGGGGGGTTTTTTTGTTTGTTTGTTTGTTTGGTTTTTTGTTGCTTCTTTTTTTTTCCCAACAGTCCCAGGGTGCCACAGAGTACTTTGATCAGTATCTTGAAAGTTACTCTTCTAGGCATCACTCTCTTCCAGTCCAAGCCCTCCCCTTTGCTGTTGTCTGGGTGAAGGGAAAGTTTCAGAAGAGAGTCCCTCTCTTCCTCTCCCTGGAAGGGATTTGGTGCCTCGGGCCGGCCGCCCTCTCCAGCGAGAGCCTGTTCCTTGGGCGCTTCCTGCCCCCGGAGTCTAGGCGCGAATCCCTCGGGATCTCGCCTTCCCCCGGCACCGAGGGGGCCGGGAGGGGCCGGTGAGTCACGGCGGGTCCCGCGGGACTCCCTTCCCCTGCGCTGCGCTGCGCTGCGCTGCGCTGCGCCCAGCCCAGCCCCGCTCCCCTGCCCCGCGGCAGCGCCCGGCGCCGCTCGGCGGCCGCGGTCCCGCTCGGGGCACGCAGGACTCCGGCTCCGGGCGCGCCGGCACTGCCGGCCCCGGCACGGCTCTGTTTCTCTTGGCTTGGTCCCCTGAGACGGACAGCCCAAGCAGAAGCACATGGACTAGCCGCGGCCCCCCCATGTCTTCCCTCGTTCAGCCAAACCACACTTCCAGACGTTCTCAGGTGCGGTGCTGCTCGGGGCGGGGTGTGATCTCTCAGCCCCGTGTAAACGGGACTTGCCGGCATCCCCTGCCTGCAGCTAGACGTGCAGAGATTGGGGAGCACAAGACTTACCCTCCATAAACTGCTTTTGCCCCTAAGTACGATTTCACTTAAAGCAAGTGCCTACTCCCCATTAGCAGGAGCTCTAGTCACCGCACGTAAGACACGACAGAGCACTTGGGAAGAAACGCTGGTTGAAAAAACCCCAGACCAACACCCCCACCACCCCCAGGAGAAACAAGTCAGTAGCTCTTCCTCCTTCCCAGTGGCAAGGGAGCACCCGCTGCCCAGAAGATCGATGGCAGAACCCTCTGGTTCCGAGTGCGGGGGCCAGCTCCCAGCAAAGTTTGGTTATCCCGACCTGCGTGCGCATGGCAAAACGAGGGAACTCGAAGGAATGAGGAGTTCCGGGAACAGCTAAGAACTACAAGAACTATAGCAGATACACCACGGTTTCGGGGATAGCACTTTACACTGCATCCAGCCGAGTGCAGGTGTGCCCAGCTCTGCGCATCAGGGAGCAATCGGCTCCATCGACGCGGGGAGCCGGAGGGGCTGTAGGATCCGCACGCAGCGGGACGTGCGCCAATCAGGGCCAGAGAAGCTGGTGAGAAACTACAGAGTTTCGTAGTTTGAAACACGTTGTAAGCAGCCCGGCAGATATGAGGAGATAAAGCCAGTAAGTTTAGCAGGTAAAAACTGCAGAACAACATTCTAGCACACACAAGGAGAAACTATAGGCACAATTCAAAGACAGCACCCCACTTTATTTGTTACGTTCTGTCTGAAGGATATGCGATGAGGAGACAAGACAGCGATTTGGTGAAGACTACCGTGAACTCTGATGCAGACTCCAGAGATCGGGCTGAGCCGCTTCCCCACGCATGCACAGCACCGTATCTTTAGGACTCTTGAGCAAGTTTTAAAAGCTCCTCCTTCACGCCTCCGACCGCTTTGGGCACGCTTTTCGTCGCCGGATGGCACCGATTCCCCTCCTCGGGAGCTCCATAGAGACCACATAGTGCCTCATTAGAAACCACGGAACGACCTGCGCTCTCTAACGGAGGGCAGGACGGACCCCAAGGAGAGCGCAGAGGCGGTGCGCTGGGAAAGGTGACTGAGCCCCGGGGAATCCCTGCACACACTACAGGGCAAGAGCAATGGATGGGGCTCTGGTCTCCCGCCTTCAGCAGGCGGCCCGCACGGACTCGACAAGCGGGCTGGACTCCTCAGGACAGCTGGAAGCGAGGACCAGGATAGCGGCGGGACTCTGGGCAGTCGCTGCTCCCTGCCGCCGCCGGGGCAGGGTGGGGGGGTCAAACCCTTACCTGAGTTCCGAAGCTTGCGGTTCTTGAAGACGGAGAGGATGACCAGGAGGTTGCCCAGGATGTCCACCACAGTGGTGAAGATCAGCACGCTGGACAGCACCGGCACCACCCAGGCGGGCCGCGGGGCGCCCGCCGCCGCCGCCTCCCGTTCCGCCAAGCCGAGCCGGCCGCGCCCGCCCGGGTCACAGCAGTTCCTCAGGGAGCCGTTCTCCAGCATCGCGGCCACCCCGTCCCGGCGCCTCCCCGCGGTGACCGGCGGCGGCCCCGCGGACTGACCGCGCGGGCGGGCGGGAACGGCTTTAAGGGGCGCACCGGGCGCTGCTCCGCCGGGAGGGGCGTGGATGGGGCGGTACCAGAGCCCCCTCCCCTTCGCGGGCGGTGGGGGAAGCCCGGGGGCGGGCCCAGCCCCGCCTGCCGAGGGAGGGAGGGAGGAGGCGGCGGTGGCCGGCGGGAGCGGCGGCGCGGAGCGGCAGCGGCGGGGGCTGCCGGGGCTGCCGGGGCGGGGGCAGCCTCCGCGGGTAGCGGAGGCGGCCGCTCTCGGCCATCCCCGGTGACAGCTTGCGTGGCCGGAGAGCCGCGGGGACAGGCGAGGGCGGTGGAGAAGCCTTTGTCCCAAAGCGCTGCTCCTGCCCCAGGGCTCAGCTGCGAACATCCTCCATTCGCCGCCGGGAGAGCGCTTGTCTGGGGGTTGTTTGTGTTTTGGTTCTGGGGAGTTGGTTTGATTGTTTTTTCCCTGCCCCGCGGCTCGGACCGCTGTGTTCCTGGCAGCGCAAGGCCAGCGCTCCCCCCCGCCTCTCTCGCCGCCAGGCACACGGTGCGCCCAGACGAGTGTTCCTGGCACATTCCTCCCGTCGGCCTGGCAGCACATCTGAAAGGGTCGTACACTGCCTTCGCCGTGGCCTTGTGCCTCGCGTTTGAACACAGCGGTCAGGTCGAGACTAAGGGCAGTGCCCGTGGGGCGATAACTGCGAGCGCCACGGGCGGGACGTGCCCGCGCCGATGTCGGCTTCGGAAGCTGGGCGCGTTTCGCGGGATTTTCCTCTCAAGCTGCAGGGCCGACAGAAGGGCTCCGACGGGCTTCGCTCTGCAATTACGCTTGAAACATATCGTTTCCTTTGGGCCCCACAAAGTGACAGCTCCCATATGCTCATTTGCATTAAATAAACAGGCGAGACGCGTGCGGCAGAGGAGGGAGCAGCCCGCGTGTCGCCGTGCCCGGCTGGCGGCGTGGCACCGGCACCGGGCGCACACAGCGGGGCCGGCAATTAGAGCAGCCTAACTCGGGAGGGGTTTGTGCCCTACTTCGCATTGTTTTCAGGCCATCCAGGTCACACTGTATCGCTGTCCTGCTGTCCTGCTTTCAGAGGACGGTATGCCCCCCAGTTTTTCAAGAATTAGATCCTAAGGTAACCTACCTTGTGGAGTTAGGTTGGAAAAACAGGACAAGTTTCTGTCTTTTCTAACGGGGAATAACTTATTTGGGCTCATTGCTTCTTTGAGGCTTACCATGCACTGGTGTAATCAAAACGCTAAAGATTACTTTGTGGTTTTCTTTTTTTTTTTTTTTTTATTTTTAGAAATAGTTTACTGTTCAGTTTTAAATCCTAGTCAATTTAAAATAAACTGAAGTAGTCCTGCTTGGAATGAACATAGAATAATACATGTGGATTTTTTTGTGAGTCTTATTTACAGTGATTAAAAAAAAAAAAAAAAAAAAAAAAGAAAGAAAACAGCCCTATTTCATATGCTTTATGTTTAATGTAGGCAATATGTAAGTCATCATGGTCCTTTTCAAACTACAGCTGGAGTTATCATGGCTTCATGGCTTGGATCAAAAAGGAACCGTCTGAGAATTATCACTCCTAAATAGTTGTTTTGCAATTCTGATGTAGGAGAGTAATAACTGCACTCTTGACAGGACAGGCTCATTCTTGATGGAAGTGAGAGTTCACTTGATTTTCCTTTTTCTTTCTCCAGAAGCTGAAAAGGTAGCTGATCCAAGGAAATGCATATTTTCTGTATTCATCAGTGCAAAGGACGATTTTTCACTAATGATCTTTAAGAATAGTTTAAGAATAACTTTTGTGTTACAGTGTTTCCCTTTATCTGCCCCTGTTCCAATTTCTCCTTTCAGAAAGTTGTTATTCTCACTGCCCATTATCTATGTACTACTCTAGATTTATGGACTTGTTAGGGGAAACTTGCACATATTATCATTTATTTCCATGCCTGGGGCTCTTTCTGGGCATCCTTCCAGAATCTGTGTAAGTGCTTTCAGGAGAACTGTACCATTTTGTTGTCTGTCATTACTACAGGATTTATCTTTAACTGTTTGTCAAAAGCTTAAACTACCCCTGAGCATAAACGTGGCTTTTCAAAGTAGGTTTTGCTCCTGGCATTACCCAGGTTTGCAGTTTGTCCCCACAAGAGCAACAATGTATTTCTCCCTGTCACACACAATTGTTATGTATCATTGCTCACTTAATTTAATAACTCCCAAAAGTGTACCAAGTAATTTAGAGAAAAATTAGAATGCTATGGCCTGAGCTTGGCCCGACGTATAAGCCTGCCACAAAATGTGAAACAGACTGAAGCGGTCTGGCTTTGGAACAAGAATCTGACTTTGGTGGATGCACTGGCATTTGACAGTAGAAAAACAAGCAGATAAGAATAAAACTGGTACCTTTCCTGCTTCTGAAACCTGTAAAGAGCATGTTCTTTATCTGCTCTGAATTTTCACTCTCTTCATTAATATTAGTAACATAGATTGGAATTATTATTTGGTGTTGTCTGTCAAAGGATAAATTATAAATGTTAATCTTCTTTGCTTTGTATAATGATTGATTAAGATGCATTAAACGATCTGTGGATGATCTTACTCAGCTTTTTAGTAGCCTTATTTCCAGTTAACCAAATTCTCTTTGAAAGTGAAATAGGTATTTAAGCCTATTGATCGTTGGAGTTATTATAAAATAACTCATTGTTGCAAAAAGCTCTCCATCTCAAAGGCAGGGATATATTCTTCACAGCTGGATTTTTAAGACCTTTATATTTTTAATTTTGGGGAAATATTCTTCCATGTCTAGGAAAATTAGCCATGTCTTGTGTTTCTTTTTGAGAGCAATCTAATTTTTTTAAAAGGCAAGCTCTATTTGTTGTGCAGGGTAAGACCAGGAATTGCCTGAATGGTGGAGCAATCAAATATTCCATGCATTGCTCTGCTGCCTGAGGCTAAACTCTCTTGTTTGTCTTTTTTTTTTTTTTTTCCTTTTCATTCTGAAGGAAAATGACTGCTTCCTGGAAATACATTCAAGCACTTTGTTCCCTGTGATTTGCTGATTTGACTTTCTGAATCTGTAACTGATCACAGAAGTCAAAAAGTTTTCATGAGCACAAATAAAATTTCAGGACAGAGGATCCCTTCGGTAAAATCTCTTGAATTTCCGGTATTCCACTGAGGAAGAAATTATATCTCCTCTATGTTTGTTATTTCAGCACACATTTCTACAAAACCAAGGGAAACTTATAGCTAAAATGCACAGTTTCCAAATAGCATTCCTACTTCTAACTCAACTCAGTTTGAGTTGATTTTTCTCACTGTGTACACCACGGTAGGGGTTGGAGTCTTATACCTTTTATACCTCTTTCTATACAATTTGGGTCTTTTAAATATATGTCTATATTTTTAAGTCAGCTTGACCCCACTGTTTAAATTAAAGTCTGTCCACTGGTGTCATGAGCATGTACAAAAAGGGTGGTATCTTCTCTGATCAGGAAGGGTCTTTCTTTTCTGTAGGAACAGAAGATTACTTATTAACACTTTCTGATCTGGGTTTCATCTTTCCCATGCAATGTTAATACTTTTAATGTAGAAATAAAAGCCTTAGTTAGAGGAAGATTATTTTGTTGTCCATAATTTTCCAACCCCTTTTTATCTGTTGGAAATTGCCCATAAAATGAGATCTGCCATCCCAGTCTCAATAATTTATTGAGGTTTTAGTCACACTGAATTTCCACGGCACAAAACAAGATCCTTTTGCTGTGACTTTTCAGTGAAAAGAGTCACCCAGTTTTGAAGCTTTAATCAATAGATTGGACAAAGCAGAGATGTGGAGTGGGAAGGGATTTAGGTTGAGTATATCTCAAGCTAAGGGAGAGAGAGAAATCGAGATCAGCTTCCCAAGGATTGTGCACATTTATTGCCCTGTGATCATTGGATAGGTGTGGGAAGTAGGTGGAATAGATAACCTTGTGAATGTCTTTCTGCTGAAACTGAAGAGGATCTTTGAGGACTAGCTTAGACTAGGTATTGCTGTGTGAGGTGATTAAAGGGGAAGATTGCTTGGGGAAGATTATTCCAAGGGTTATTGCAGGACTAAAGCAGATCTCTTGATTAGGACTCAGTGTTGAATTTCAAAACATTTCAAAGCCATGTTATCTCTAAACATGCTCTCCTATTCCACCTTCCCCACTCTTTAGTGTAAATGGTTATGTGTATATATGTGCTTTGTATACAATATATGTACACACACACACACACTCTCTGTATACCACAAGCTGCTGTTGCTATTCCTCTCCTGGGACTGTTCTGCCAACTGTGTTGTGCTTTCCTAATATACAACCACAAGCTGGAGTAGAAGAAACTGATTTTCATTCATGACCTCGACTAATATTTGAACTTACATTTTTCAGGGGTGAAAGGCTAATTCCCTTATTCCGCATAACCCTATGACTAATCCTTTTTAAGATGGAAACCAGAGCCAGAAGAACATAATTGGTTTATATTATTAGAGAGAGCTACCACAATCCCGATGTTTATGTAGCATTCAGGTGCTGTTATCTCTATCCTTCAGCTTGTTTTTTGCAAGCAGCTGCTAGTTTTGTCACAGCCAGAAGGCCTAGATGGGCTGGAAAGGGAGAGATGGACTGGCAATCAGGAGGCTCTGAAGTCCTGGTGGTGACTGTCCCAAGAATCTATCATGGGACTGGGACTAACTAACTAATTTTGTTTCTTTGTCTCTTTTGTCACATTAAAATGAAGCTAAGGAAAGTCTGTTATGTACTTCTTGGAAGGGAATTGAGAGTGAATTTGTTAATGTTTTAAAAGAAATTTAATTTTGCTATGCAGCTTATTGTCTTTTTTTAAGTTAATGCAAAGCTGTCACAAATGGTCTAAGCTCCATAAAAACAAGCTTGCAGCTCTCTGCCAACACCAGC